TGTAAGATAGATATAACACCATACAGATAATGTAAGATAGATATAACACCATACAGATAATGTAAGATAGATATAACACCATACATGTAATGTAACATATATATAACATGATACAGGTAATGTAAGATAGATATAACACCATACAGGTAAAGTAGGATAGATATAACATGATACAAGTAATGTAAGATAGATATAACACCATACAGGTAATGTAAGATAGATATAACACCATACATGTAATGTAACATATATATAACATCATACAGGTAATGTAAGATAGATATAACATGATACAGGTAAAGTAGGATAGATATAACATGATACAAGTAATGTAAGATAGATATAACATCATACAGGTAATGTAAGATAGATATAACACCAAGTTTTGAACACTTTTCACAGCAAGTAAAGTAAGAGGTTTTCAACAGTCCTTCATAATAGGCAATGAAATTGTTTTAAATACTTTTTATCAACAGTTAAAATAACACGTTTGGAATATTTCTCATCAGATAAAGTATGATGTTTATAACACTAGTTTTTAGTTGGTAAATTACAATGTTCTGAATATCCTTCATATCCTACATTACCTGTTAATAAAAAAATGTATTTATATCCAATGCTAAGTAGCTGAGCATTAATCTGCACTATAATCTACATTATCTTCTAAACATTACTGTTATACAAAACAAAAGGGTTATCTATATTGTATGTTACCAATTGAGGATTGGTCTTAATGTTTTCAAGGATGTTTTTTAAGAAGTTGCACTGTCGGATCATACTGGTTGTCCACTGGTTACTCTGGCTAGTGAAACAAATGTTTGTCATTGCTGTACTTGCAATTTTGGATCCTCTACGTTTCTGTTCAGCAACTTCATTCACCATCTTATTTGCTTGTACACAAACTCGTTCAGCAGTAAACTGTGTTTGGTACAACAACTCCCGAAGCCATTTAACTCCAATGTGGTACTTTTCTTCTTCCACCTAATGATACAAAATAATTACATTAAAAACAAAAAACACTTTCCCTTGTTTGTGAACAGCTACTTTATCTCTGCAATAACTAAAAGTTTGAGGACACTGTATGTGGCAGAACAGATGTAGCATTTACTGCAGGCAAAACAAGAGAAATAAGACTTGGTGAGAAGACAGAAATATTTCATTGATGGTAATATATGGCAGAAAAAGGTTGATGGTATGTTGCTGATGCACTGATGATCATGAAGTTAAAATAAACTATAATAAAATGGAAATGAGCTACACATCATCAGCAGGTTAGTGAAAGATGTACCAAACTTCACATGCCAGTAATGGTTCTTTCAAGTCAGAAACAAATCTGTTTGAAAATGTCAAAACTGTATTCACAATTTGTCTTCCCTCTCTGAAGTTGACCATTCAGAAAATTAAATTACAAAAATCCAGAAGTATCTCTTCTCCATGTGATAGACATAAATATATCCTTTATATACAAAGTAAAGTGATATTCGATTATCTCATGAAGTAGTTGATTCTTCCATGATAGGATCCTACTACAGAAAGTAACACCTTTTGCAAGACTGATCTTAGCATAAGAATTGACCAGACTTAGTATGCTCCAAATGAGAGTTTAGGGAAATTAAACATTTTAGTACATATGAAATAATATTGTTGAAAAGTATCCTAACAAGTCTCCAGCTTTTGCTTTTCCTAGCTACATCATATTGTACTTTTTTTCCTCTTCCTTCTAAATGTTGAAGACTTTCCATGGTTTCCATTTTTTAAACTACTAGTGCAAAGGAGGTTCACATCCTGTCAGTAGAGTATGCACTATACTTGATAAATGGGTATCTCTTGTAAGCTTTCTTAAATAGCTTTACCCCTGTATGGCCTGACAAATTCATCCAGGTGATGGCTTGGCATATATATCCAGGTGATGGCTTTGCCCCTGCATGGCTTAACACATTCATCAGATCAGGTGATGGCTTTTCCCCTGCATGGCTTAACACATTCATCAGATCAGGTGATGGCTTTTCCCCTGCATGGCCTGACACATTCATCCAAATGATGGCTTTACTCCTGCATGGCCTGGCATATACATGCAGGTGATGGCTTTACCCAAAATGACCTAGCACATACATCCAATTGACAGCTTTACCCCTGCATGAATTGGCACATACATCTACATGATGGCTATACTCCTGCATGGCCTCACACATACATCCAAATGATTGCTTTACTCCTGCATGGCCTCACACATACATCCAAATGATGGCTTTACTCCTGCATGGCCTCACACATACATCCAAATGATGGATTTACTCCTGCATGGCC